GTAGCATTATATCATGTCACGGCTGTTAAATTTTTGTTGGGTTTTGGGGTTTTTTTAAGGTAAAAATATGCAGATAGTTCAAATTATTTTGGAGTTTAAACTGCTATTCCTGTATAGCTTTATTAGAGGGACAAGTCACTGCAGCTCTGAAAACCCAGCGATTTACTAGTGATATCTTTACAGTGAGGGTATAGATAAGACACTGATGCCAAGTTTCAGATTTGAATATTTTCATATTCTGATAATAAATTGCAATTTTGAATGTGGTCATTGGAGTGCGAGAGATTGTTGTTTCTTCTCTCTCTGTGCCATCATCTGCAAATTGCTTAACGGCACAAATAAATGTTACATAAACGTTAAGGCTTTCTTTTAAGCAGCAGAAGCAATGTGAAAAAAAAAGATAATAGTGAAAGGCTTTTATTGGTGGTTGTACTCCTGTTAAGATTCTGTTTGATTACCAGGTTAGATTTGCTGCAATATGCAGATTCTGTCCACAGCCTTTTAAGATTTACTGATACTTTAATATCATGAGGTTAGGCTAAGAAATCAGTTTTGTTGAAGAGAAAATATATTCTGATTGTTCTTACCAGATTAAAACTGGATGGCTGATACTGTTACTCTCTATAGCCACAAGACCCAGTGCTCTGATGGACATTGCCACCCACAGGGCAATGACATTGGATCTGCTCATGTATAAACTAAACCATAGCAGCTTTCAGTCTGCATATTAACCAGCCAGATGCCTGAGAGTGGTAGCAGACAGCAGTCCGATTTTAATCCCCATTCACAAACGCTTCAGAGATGGAGTATGTGTGATGGTAAGTTTATACACACTGCCAGGAAACTGCCTGGTGTGTGCTGAGCTAAACCTGTCTGACCATGTTGAAGTATAACAGTAAATCTGAGGTAATGTGTCCCACTTCTCAGCACTCTAGAAGAGAGAGTAGGCATGTTGGCTTGGAAGAGTGAGTGCCCATTAGCATGAGCCTCACCTGAATATCTGACATGTGACCTGTGGCAGCTCTTACCCAAAGACAGGTTGGATTCAGTAACAACAACATGCTTGTATGACTTGGTGTGTTGACCTTAACCAAACTGGTCGTCATCAGCTGCTCCTTACAAGCTTGTGGAAGCAATAAGAGAAGAAAGTCTTGGGTTCAGCAACCCTTGATTTTTTAGTATTGGCACACACTCAGCAGGATGTTGTAAAGATAGAAAGCTTTTCAGGAAGCTTTTTCAGCAGTACAACTCATCTGTCTGCAAAAAACTACACTAAAAAAACATTTGACATGTTTTTTCCCTATCTGGGGGATATTCTGCTGATTAGATACTTTGTTCACCAGTAGCCAACAAACAAAATTTGCAGCTGGCAAAACCAATAGTTTATTCTGCTGGTATGGATTTGTTTTTTCTCTCTTGTTTCTCTCTTCTGTGTTAAACTTCAAAAAGTAAATGAATACTGGCATTGAGGCCAGTCCAAAACTTACATGGTATTTCAGTCCTACTCAGTTAACTTTGATCGCTTATGTAAGACTGAAGTAATATATGTTTGGTGTGGGATTGGTTTGCTAGGAGGATATAAATGTATTTTTATTTATCAAAGACCTTTGTCATCCCAGATTGATATATCCAAAGACATTTTTCTTTCTTTTATGGCTATTCGTGCTTTCTACCGCTTGAGTTTATTTCCATCTTAGCAAAATGAGAAAGAATCAAAAGTCTCTTGATCTAAATCTTTTATTTGTACTGGACTGAAAAGGTATTGAATTACTTATATGACAATCAGTACCTGACAGATGTAACATCTCTTTCTAATGCCCTTTATGCAATGTTTCTTAATGTAAAAAATAGTATAACAAAAGGAAAGAAAATCTGGGACTTTGGTTTACCTTCTTTTCTTGTTAAAGAAGGTGAAAAGTTGAGTTGTCACAGGTGAACTGAGATTACACCCTGCAGCTAGAGAGAATGTAAAGAGAATTTAAAGAAACCTTTAAAAAAGTCTTACATAGTATTATCAATTCCTATATAAAATAATTTAATATTTTAAATACTGTTTAAATAATTTATCTGTATTTAAAACTAACCTTTTAAAATTTTATGTTTGGAACTTTTTTGGCATTAACACTTAAATAAAATTTTTTAAATATTAAAAAGTCTTTTAAATATTCAACACAATTCAATATAAAAACAGAAAAAGTAATATACATTGTTCACACATAGTATTGTACATGATAGCTGAGCTCTAGAGTGAGCTTTTGAATTTGTCAGACAAGTCATAGCTTAGTTGTGTTGAACCACTTGCTTATCCTCTGTCTGGACTCTTAAGATTATAACAGATCCTTACCATCAATATGTAGTCTTTAATATTATATACACATACTGTATACAGTATTTAATTCCCATCTTTATGCCCAGAATTGTAAATAAATATTTTTCCCAGCATTTAGATCAAAATATTTTTTAGCGCATACACAAATATATTTAAGACACACACAATTTGACAAAAAACATACCAATTTTGCTCAGCTCAGTTATAGGAAAATTTAACTGATAGATGCAAAATAACGTAACTGAGAAGTTGTCGCTGTTGTATTTAAAATTTATAGTAATCTTATTACCAAATGTTTACAGGTTAACAGTGGGAAAATTAGGATTCACTTGTACCCTTGATGCATTTTCATTAATCCTGCCAACGATAAAGGCAGTAATGTAGGCATGATGCTGGTGTCTTACAGCTACTCTGTCTAACACCTGATATTCGCTGACAGTATTACAAACTTTGACAGTATTACAAACTCTCTGTTACAGACTTTGGCAGGACTTCACTAAAGGCCAAATATCAGTCTCCAGTTTTTAAGCGTACGCATGTCTGTCATTGATAATGAAGTTTACTGTCAAATTCTAAATTGCTTTCTCCATCCTTCTGTAAAGAACTCCTGTATTCAGCAAAATGATTTCTACAGATACTGTAAATGGATTCTGGTGGAAAGAGGGGTACTCTCATGCTTCCTATATTACATGCATCATGTATTACGATTGCAATAGTTGTGTCCCATTGTACAAGGTAGTGCCCAAAAGTCTTCATTTCTTCTTGAAAAATTCTTCTCCAAGAGGACCTCAAAACTTTACAAAGACTAAATGGAACATTCTACATAGCTACTTAGGGATACTTGCAGAAGGAAAAAATACCAGTGCAAATCAACATATGCATCAGGAAGCCTAGTCTAGAAACATTACTCAGAAGAGCAGCACATTCCACATGATATTTGTAGTTATTCACAAATGAACAAAACTCACATTTCAGATTTTGGACTTATCGTTTCCTATTCATATGCAATCTACAAACTAGAAACTATTTGCAGTAATTATTGCATGGCTAATTCTTAATAATTGTTCCTGAAAATAGAACTTCTTCACAGATAACTCAGACATGGTTTCAAGATGAGCTTTCAAGAAGGATTTGAACGTTTTGCTCATGTCTTTGCAGTTTGAGATTCTGAACGAACCTTCAGGAAGACAGAATTCACAAACTGTGAGAAATACTCTGCCTTCCTGTCACTCCTCCTGTCCTTTTCTCTGGCATGAAGGTGCTTGAGCAAGGTGTTCACTCAGGTGATGGACTGTACCTGTGGTGACTCTGGGCTTGGTTTACATGAAATTTGATTCTCCAGCTTTCAGGGGAGCAGACTCTGAAAAGGAAATTGTTACCTAGGGAGAATAAGTATTTCAGTCACTTTATTTTAATCCATCTTAAGAGATAAACTGAGGCCTTCAGTTTATTTCACAGTAAAAGCATGGTACAACAACAGGCCTCCATTTGTGTCTCTGAAGACCTCAGCCAAACAGTCGGGATTCTGTAGGATTAAAGCAAGCAGTCAATGCTAAAGTAATCCTCCCTCACATCTTTTACCCACTTATATCACTGGTCAGGAATACTGGTGTGCCAGCAAGAGACTAATTCTCAGCTGTTTCGTATACACGGAGTTTCAGGTCCTGGTATTCTCAGCTCAGCCCTTTTCATTAAGACATCAAAGTCACATGAAAACTAAGCATATTTTGACGGGAGAATTTCAGAATTGGAAATAACATAAAGTGATGAACTATTAGTTTTGCCTTTGCAAATGTCTCTCTAGACTTAAGAGAATTTGTATTTAAGTCTTAACCTTTCCTTGGAGGTATATGCAGTGTGTATATATAAATATATATTTATACAGTTCATAGTTTATATTAGACCCAAGAAAGCTTTATTATTCATTAGTGCTCTTCACATGATAAACTGAGCAGAAAAGGTGCAGTTTTCTTGTAAAGACATGTCATGGTGACTCAACGGAAGGAGGTCTATAAAACGCTAAGCATACAACAGATCAAAATTTAATTTTTAAATTAAAACCTTGATTTCAGGATTTAACAGCTTCTTTTTGCTTTCAATTCTTCATTTATGCTTAAGCCTGTTCAAGACACCGAGTTACTTTATCCACATTGGAATCCAGTTAACAGTAAAGAGACAAGCATGTGTATGGTTTGTTTTTTTTTTTTAAAACAAGTGAGGATAAAGGCATCATAAATCCTTCATTTTCTTTTTGATAGTTAAAAGGGTCATCATTTGAAAGAATGTCTTTCTGGGGAGAAGGAAGAAGTAGTACTGCAAAAATTACTGTGAAGCCTGTTTAAGAATTCAGGTCAAACTTCTAGGTCAAATCCAGAAAGATCTAGAAAGACAAGCTATGTGGTGTATCATCTTAACTTTCAGGTTTCTGGTGTCTCAGACAAATACAGAATCCTGTAAAGTCACATATACTCTATGTAAAATGCATGGTGGGAGTTATGGGTCTGCCTAGTTATGAGTGAGCTGGAGAGCTACATATCACAACTCAGTAAGCAACAGTAACTGAAAAGCAACCTATTTCTCCCTTTTCTCTCTGCTCGTTGAGCTTCCATCTATCTGGATTTAATTCTCTCCTAAACATAAGTGTTTATGATCACTCTTTAAATAGTTAAGAAGGACTACCTTCTATCTTCTATAACAAAGTCTGGAAGAAGTGACATTTCTGGCATTGCCTAACTGTTATTTTGTAATAGCCAGTCAAAAATGTGTAAAAGACGGTGGTGCAATACCCTGTCATTCTGAAGGGACTCACAAGCACTTCGCATCTCCTGCAGAAGAGTGCTCAGAGGAGCTGCGCAGAGGCAGCCCAGGGAGAAATCCTTGGCTTCCTTTCTGAAATGGTGCCACTCTTCCGAAAGGAACTCAGGACCAGAGAGGGGGGCAAAAGAAAGCAGACAATGAGAAGCAGTATACTCATTAAAAACAAGCAATCAAACAAAAAACACACTCTAACTTGCTACATATCATACTTCAGAGAATCAGATTGTAGTTAGGAGTTAAGCAAAATCTTTAGACACAGCCTCTACAAAGTTTGGTGCTGACATTAAAATACCAATTGTACAAATGATTGTGAAGATTGAAAAAGCCATCAAGCAGAGCCGATCCACTACAGAGGCTGCAAACTTCCATTCATTGCAAAGGGCTTCTTCTTCATCCTGGTCTCTGAATCGGTTTGCAATGTACCTGACCTCTTCCAAGATCTTAGCCAAATCTGGGTCGCCTTCAGAGGGGTGGCCACTGTGCAGCAGGTTTTCTTCGTCTGTTGGTGAGCAGGTCATCCTCCCACAGATCACCCCTGAATCAGTGGTAGGTGTGCAGTGAACCCCTTCCAGCCCCCTAAACCCAATGTATAGCATATTCCCATTACTGGATTGCTGTCCACTCACGGTGTTCATCTCCACACTTGATAGGCTACATCGACGCTGTTTATGTTGACAGGCAGGACGCACTTTATCTTCCCCTGGTCTTTTCATCCTCAGAAACCAAGCACACCAGTTGAGAAGGATGATTCTTGTCTGAAAGAAAATTTTTGAGAATAAGCATCTCTTCCCACAGCCACTGTCTTTGGGCGCTACTGGTATTTTTGCAGCCTGGGTGACTGTCTGGTCCATGGTCTCTGCTTACTCTGCACAGGAGTTCTAGAAAATGGTACCAGAGTTTTCCAACTGATTGATTTGCCAATCACTGAGGCTGCTTTCTTTATTCCAGCAGTGCTGTTGATTGCTTCAGGCTGACTATCGCTATTGGGAGTCCCCCCTTCTCTGGCGGGAGTCTCCATAGTGTTGATTTTTCCTTACACTTGGAACAGCAATATGGCAGCCTTTTCCACCTTTACTAGAAACCATGAATTAAAAAAAAAAAACCACTTACTGAAGAAGAGTTACTTTTTAATAGTCTTAATAGCGCTGCTTTAGATTATAGTCAATAAATTACAATTCTTTCACTCATATTGGTGCTCTAATATTAAATTCACATGATATTACTGTTTGGAGAGGGCTGCTAAAACAGATGCTAGAGTGAACTGGACTGGACCACCAAGCTTTACAATGTTTTGGCACTGTTCTCACGTTGCTTTCATGACAGTTGATTGCAGATTTTAGAAAACAGATCTGGATGTAGCATGGAGAGAAGATGGAAAAATTACTTTGATTTAAAAAAAAAACCAACAACTTTGCAAATTTAATCAGTGTGTGTCATTGCCTTAATCCAGTCTTACAGAAAGTGCAGGCAAGCCAGAGACTGTTCCAGTTCAGATGCAAGCTTCTGTAATTTATTTCAATCAGATTTTAAGAGTTCATTCCAGTGTTTCTTTTCCAGAGCACTAATGAAATATTATTGTCTGATATAATATGCAAATCTTACACTGTAATTAATATTAGATTTTGTCCATTTATTCTGCTGTGGATTGCCACTCAGAGTAGATACTATATCCAGGCAAACATCCCAACCAGAGACAGCTCTTGCCCTGTTACTCTATTTACACTATCAAGCTTCACCAAGAAGGATAATATTCCCTTAACTGAGGGCCTGATCCAAAATCCACCAGTATCCAACTAATGTTTAATTCAGCTTCTCAACACTAAAGCTCACTCCTCGACCTCAAGTAATCTGTTTTCTGAGGATGTTTGGCTCAGTACTAAACATTTGTCCCCTTTAGGTTATCAAACGTGTGTCTAAAGATATATACCTTTTATTCTCTTCATTGAAATTTATTTTTTATCTACCCCAGAATAGGCCAGGGAATATCTCATTATCTCTTGTCCGCAGGGCACTGCTGTATGCACATTCTTTTTGGCTAGTAAGGATAATAATAACTCGTTGTTCTAGAGAGAAAGAAAGAGAAAGGTCTTTCCGTCTTCAGTAATGCCTGATGCTGTCATGAGCTGGGTGAAGTCAGGAAGAGTGGACAGTTAGCTAATGATACTCATCAATATTTAGTAATCTAGTATCAGTGTAATGTTCTCTGTAAAACCAACCACTCATAGAAGTACATTATAAAGAAAGTCTTATGCGCTTAGAAAAAGACTTTAATTTTTCTTTGTACTTTACAGATGTTCTTGACCAGAGGTGTAAAGATGAGGATTTTCAGAGCAAGTTTCACTTCCACTTTAACAAGTGCTTTTTAGGCTATTGATGTTTCTGTATGCACAGCAGCTAAATGGTTGGACTTGATGATCTTAAAGGTCTTTTCCAACCTAAACGATTCTATGATTCTAAATACGTAGCAGCTGCATAGTTGCACCTTGAGGCTAGTGTATTTCATGCATTTATAGTCTCCATCAGCACCTTACTCTTTCCTTTTACCTGTTTCACTTCTGACATCTGCAGCTTATTTGAAAATCACCTTCATTTATATATTTAGGTTTTAGCAAAATCCTGAGGTGCTTCTAGCTGTTGTGAAGGAGATTCTGAATATAGGAGCAAGTTGAGCAGTGGTCATTCTCTCTCCTGCACGCACACACTCTCTAAGTAGCCAACCACACGAAAGATATCTGGACATCTCATTTCTGGTGAAACTACTTTTCAAAACAAAACGTTTAGGAAGGATTTATATTTTTTTAACAGTAAGAAGTAAACATGGGTCACTAGCTACTCTATCACAGCCATGATCTGGACATTATGCAATGGATAATGAATGAAAATCAAACCTTACCCATTTAGGCATTTTCCCCCCATCTGGATCATGATGATGGTATTGTAGAACAATAACAGTGACAACAACAGAAAGACCAACAATAATCATAGTGCTGGCAAAATACTGAGCTGCAAAATAAACAGATAATTACAGCAATATATTTTGGCTGATATTACTTTGTAGCTATTGTAAGGGGTGTTTATATACTTGCATACATAGTGTTAAGTTCTTTTTCCAGTGTAGTGATACGCTTGCTACTTTAGGTACTTGTGAAAGATTTCTCAAATGCAGAAAGAGCAGCCGTTATTTTGAGAGGATAGCCAGTCTTTAGCAATTGTCTTTGTGGAACTGAGCACCTGCCTTTTCTAAGCAACCTTGAAAAAAATTGTCCTCTAATTTTCTTTCACCAGTATTGTAGAGAATGGCTAGCACTTCTCTTGAAAAGTTTCTCTTTCTGTTTGAGCAATTCAATGGGAAGATTTAATCACGTTTAGCTCTGTATTCCTAATGTCTGGCCAGTTGTGTCAAAAATGCAACAACTTCTTCTATGGAAACCTAGACTCCCTTACACTTTCCCAAAATACACATAGGTTCTCTATTTTGTTCAGAGCAGAGAGCACGGAAGTTGTATAGGGGATCTCACCCATCAGAGCCTCTCATCAATTGGCAACATTTTTCTAATTCAATTGCAATGGGCCATTGTACAGGTGGTAATTTCCCTTACTGCTGGCCTTCATGCAAAGTCACTGCACCTCATTTGGCAAAAACCAGAAGTGAATAAAAGCTGTAGTTAGCTTACCGATTAAGGGCACAGAATCAGATGTTGCTGGCATAATTTCAGCCACAAGTAACATGAAGACAGTGAGAGACAATAAAACTGTTATACCTGAAAGATAAACATGAAGTATGAAATTAGATCAGTAGCTTGTAATTACAAGGCAGTAAGAAGCAGAAAATGAATCTGAAGGAGTTCTCTTTGCAAGATGCATTCCCACTGTACCCTCACACCAGCACATTAGTGCTACTCCTATCCTTTCTTGGACTGCCTCAAGTTCAGGGTAGCAATGCTGCCACACTAGTATCAATGCTTGCACAGATGTATATATTTTTAAATCCTTGTAGCTATTCAGCTTTTATCACCATTTGCTAATTAGCTGAGGTAAATCAAAATCATTCTTGCTGCTTGTTTGCTTTAGAAACATGGTGTGATTTTGCGTATTTGAGCATATGACACTTGATTAATTGGCGTGGAAGCTACAGGTGGTCTAATGCATAATATTCCTGAAAAACAGATTTGCTGTCTTGGACAAACTTTGATATCTTTTGATATTAGCTGTTGGGTTCTGCACGTGGCTATGCCCAAGCAGTCTTGACTGCTGATTTTTGGAGTTTGATTTCTGTTGCTCCCATCTCTCTGGAACAAGGCTGAGCTCTTTTCTCAGGACTAGTCTTAAACAATATGGAGTCATTGTCGGGTAGAAAAGGATTTAGGAACAAAGAATTCATTTTAAAATACGGGGAAGGACTTCTTGATTAAGGAGGCTACTACTCAATTAAACCATGTTCTGGAGAAATGTCAATTTTGTTCCTACCTTTTAACAGCTATGTTCACTTACTAGAAGCCAGTGCATTTGCAGTTTTGTATGGGGCAAAAGTTTCATTACATATTTAACCTCCATCTTAAGGATCAAGTACTTAAAGTAATCAGATTTGTTTCACAAACCAATACTTAAAATTTGCTATAAAAAGTAGAATAGTAGCAGTTAGAATCCATCTTTCTGAGAAGGCACCTTGGGCTCTTAATACAAAAGGAAATATTAAGAAGAATTCAATGTTATTCAAATGCATATTTGTAAACTTAAGCTTTACTCAGTAAATGTAGGATTTTTCTTCAGCAAATAAACATCAAAAAATGAAACCCTGCTTCTTAAGGAAGAGGTAGTCAGGAATTGTCATGCTTCTGCTTGGTTGGCTGGAATTTCTTCATTTCACAACTTCAGTGTACCCTAAGCTGCGAGCAAGGGTTAAACATCACACAGCTTCAGCATCAAACAGTAAAAATAGCTCATGAGCCAGAATAGGACACAAGCTATTCCTTCTTGCCTACTAAGACTGTTTAAAAAACTTTAGAAAGGACAACTTCTTTTGGTTTGGTCATATTTACAATATCCTATTAAGGATTTACCTAGTGAGATCTTTTCTCCCGAGTCTGCTGGAAGCAGAAAAACTAACAAAGCAAGTGCCGATATCAGTACACAAGGAATAAGAAGATTGAGTCCATAATAGAGTGTCCTACGTCTCATAGTTACTGTGAATGTTACATCTGGGTAGGGTTCTTTACAACATTCATAAAAACTCTCAGTTCTCTTCCCAGGAACTCCTGTGTAGGAGGGAGAAGGAAGAAAACCAGAAATTAATGTGAATAAACTGTATATTATGTAGTGATTATTTTAAAAAAGGATAAACGTAGCTTTCTAAGTTTTACTATAGGTAAAACTACTTCTTTAAGCTTAATTCCCAATTAAGCACCTTTTGTCAGATAATAAAGGAAAACCAGATAAAAGATACTTATTGAATTCAAGGAGCAATTTTGTCACCTACTTTTTAATGTTGATTTTCATCTCACATCTGTTCTCAGAGTTTCAAATGCCACTAGCTACATCATTTATTAATTTAATTTCTGTCTTCATTTCCCAATCATTATTACATCCATTTCAGCAGTGGAGACAAGGCTGCAAGTTCACAGTGTAAATAAGAAATCAAGAGCTTACCTACTAAATCCCACTCTCCATTTGAAATATAGCCAGATATATCTGCTTCTTGCATTTGTAAGTCCAAGGACCAGCCTCCATAAGTCCAGGATCCAAACTTCAGATTACACTTCTGAACGTCAAATGGAAACCAGCGCACATCTATGTAGCATGAGCTTTTAAATATGCCTAGATTGGATTTTAAACAAGAACACTTAATTTAAGTGCTTGTTCCACATAATTTCGTGTACATTTTGTAAACAGACCTTGTTCTACATTGTGCCTTCTATTTTTCACTTGTAAAGCATATTTAATCTCAGTTGCGTCTTGACATGTAAATAGCAAAAGTCAGTCATAGAAAAGGGAAAGAACTGCACCATTAACGTACTGATGTTATAAACTATTTTTTGAACTACATTTCCATTTTGGCACGTAGTGGGTGAATGTTTAGAGAAGAGCTCAGATTTCTAGATACTGTATTTCAGAAAGAAATGAAGCAGAATATGCAATCTGTTTCTCCTATTTCTTTTACTGAATAAAATAAGAAAACCTGAAAGATTATTTGCTGTCTTATTAGATTTACATTTATTTGATTTATTCAGGAAAGCTAGCTTCTTTTTCTTCCACTTGTTGAGTCAGGCCCTCTCATTTAGCAGCTTTCAGGATTGAATTGAAAACCCCCCACCAAATGGAACATCTTAAATCAAAAGAACAACAGGCAAACCCCTGAAATCCTCTAGGGATCTTAGATGGAAAAACTGATTTGTCTGGAAAGCACTTGGCTCTATTGGTGTAGTTTCTAAAATTCAGATTCTAGGAAGAGTTAATTCTAAGAATTATGTGAATCAAGTTTGGGAACAGAAACAGTACTCCACTTCTATACATCCAGAGAGTCAGTGATATATTTCTGATATCAAATAAATATCAAACACAGGCTACTTTCCTTTCAGACTAAAAATTGTTTTGAGGAAGCATCCAGTAAATCATTTAAAATAGAAGATACATCCAAGATGTTACTAAGCATCTTATAGATTAATAGCAGAAACAGCTAAATTAATGAAATAAATTTTTACTAAGAGGCATTACCATGCCTTTAATAAACAATATTTTTTTGTATTAAGGGCTTTTATTTTTTATCTTCTATTATACTTCCACACTTCTGAAATAGTGCATTATGACAGAAGAATTTACGTAATTGCAATAATAAATGTATCTTGTATGGTGCTTTTCATACAAAAGTGTTAACCATGTAATTCGTGATGCATCTAAAATCTTAAATCTATCAGATGATGCCAGCTAGATAAATAAAGTATCAGAGAATTGATGTCAAATTTGAAACCACACCATACATAAGTAGTCTGAGTTACCAAAATTCATGACATGAAAACAGCCTACCTGGTGGCAGATATTGGCAATGTCCTGAAGAATTGACTAAAACATTAGTGTGAAATGTAGCATCAAATCTTTCATCAGCACTAGAATAGGGAAGAAACAAAATGGGTTATATGCTCTTTGACTGGCTGAAGAATATCTGAGATGAATCCGTTCTTCATAAAAGGATTATTTCTCCCCAAAAACTTGACAGCTTTTCTCCTGTCACCAGTTTTATGTGGCCTCAGAGTAACTGGCCTGATACTACTGGATTTGGTTAACAACTGTAAGTGAAGGTGAGCCACCTCATTCTCACTGCCCACCTATCCCAGTACATTCATTACAGTGCCTTGGCTCTGTGGATTTCCATTTGAAAAGTAAGCACTTTAAAAAAACTTCTCAAGCAACTGTACAGGGAAATCTTGCTATCTACATTAACAGCAGCTAATGAATACTGAGGAGATGGATACTCCTACCCCTTTGCATGGATGAACGTTATTACTACATGTCATACATAAGACTGTTTAATGTGGCTCCAGCCTTCATTATCTACTTCAGAACCCACAAACTGGGCTCAGCAAAAAAAAGAAACCCTATAAGAGGTGTCAGTGTAGTGGTGCTGGCCAGGACTGCCCTGGTGTGCCGTTCTTATAAGTCTCTAGAAAAGAATCATGATGTTACTTGGAGAATGCTTCAAATTACGAATTGGCAGCTACCGCCAAGGAATATCTCAACTACATCTGACACTATGACCCAGGAATTTACTAGGCATTAAAATTTTAAGAAGCTCTAGATGAGAAACAACCTATTTTCAGCTATTTCGATGACGAAATAAAGACTCTGTCCTATGAAAAGTTTAGTAAGTTTGCTGACTTAAATCACTCTCTGAAAGATGTTTAGATTACTTAGCATTGCAATGGATATATACTCATATAATATTGTGCCCTATTTCACAGTTCCCATTTACTACTGCAGGTTTTTGTGGTAAGGTATTACAGATTCTGATCTATAGATCCTTTAAAGTTCAGGACCCTAGGTATTCAAGAAATTGTCATAATTATTGAATTTGGTGCCTAGATTAAATTGCACAGAATGTACTGGGAAGGTACTAGCAGTGAATGATCTTTGCATCTCAAAATTATTTCAGGAACTGCTGTGTTGAGTTCACATCTGATGGCTGTTGGCCCTGATGATAGATATAGGCTCCTTTCTCGGGCTTTCATTTATGCAGGGGATAAGCAAAATGAGACATGCTACTGTACTTTGTTGTATTGTTTGTAGTTTCCAAACAGTCACCTTGCGGGGACGGGCTGGCACACAAGGCAAATACAGTGCCAGCCGCTCTGGGGCAGGGCAAAGGAGGTCGCACCAGCCTCAAGGTCTGGCTTCTTGCTGCAGTCTGTGCTTTTGTTGATCTGAAAATGTGTCTTGTCTCTAGGATGATTTGAATATGACAAGTCTCTGATGTCTCTTTGCCTATTAGTTGTTTAGTATCTCATAATTTTCTAATCACCTTCTAAAACATCATCAGAAAAATACAGTAAGAATCTGAGATGGGGAGAAAGTGAAATATTCATAATTCTAGGAGAAAATAAAGTATAATAAATTGTTTTTTTTTTTTCCAGCAGGAAAACGTGTATTGAAATATTCTTTTTAAAAAAGAGGACTTTAATATTTGATGTATTCTGATGCAAATTTTGTATCTCAGAAGCTAAAATAAAGCAATCATTGTTTTAGTTATTGTTACTTTGCATTTTATTTTCCTCTTATGTATTTGAAGAAATTACATTTTTAAAATATCTGGACTGGTCTGTGAAATATGCAAACAAGAAAAAACTAAATCCAAATAATTACTTGCCCATCTGGAGTTGCACTTTTTCCTGTGGTGAGCAGAAGGCTCACAGTGTTGAAAATCTTTGCAACTATTTGAACTATAAAGACAAGCAGAAAAGTCTAAATATTGTGTACATAGCATAAATGGATTCTAGCATTTTGAGGGGAAAAGTCAATTCAATTCTAAGGCAGTTGAACTAATGTAAGCTGCTTTCCTTCAGCTTCACAGCTCATGGCTGGATTCTCTTGAGTTCATGTGGCAGCTTCTCTTCCAGTTGGAGCACTAATTGTTCTCCCTCCTCATCTTGGCTGCCTGTTTTCACGACATTTGTAAGAAACTGGTACTGCTAAGATCTCTACTGATTGCACTGCTAAATTTGGCAGAAATGGATTCAGAGGATATTGGGGAAAGGGGCAGCAGGAAAGATCATACGCAAACACATATATTCACACAGGTGTACGCACACACACGTGCATAAGTCTTGCTTCCTTAGAAAACCAGACTTAAAGTCCTGCAACAGGTTTCTGTATTAGACGTAGACAAGTAATTGCTTTGACTTGAAATTAATAAGGGCTACATGATGAAACTCAATCAAGTAGTCAAATTTAGGATGTAAAAATATCCATGCCACGCAAATTACTTGTAAAGTGGAAATTAATGACTAGAAATAAAATTCTTAGCCTCCTAGGCTAGATTCTGTTCTCTTCCCCTTGAGCGGAGGGCAGTTAAGCACCAGAGCGTTGCTTCTAAGACCTTGCTGCTGTATCTGGTAATTGGCAAAAATAAAATTTTCAAAAGGACACAAGTGATCAAGGAACCTAGGTTCCAGTGCCATGTGACTTTGCCTTTCATAAGACACATTCTTAAAAGAAAATCAAGAGGTACTCAGACTCAAATATGAAATTCTTTTTTCTGAAAAAGGAGCATATGTGTTTTTCTACACTGTGCTTCTAATTGTTTTTTGAAATGCAGTGTTTCAATTGGGAATGCACCAAGTAGCTAAGCCTTTGCTTGATGAGACTTTGCACTGAAATGTAATGATAGAAAACCATTTCTGCTACATTTCTTCTTCAGGGTATAACCATTTGAAAGCAGATATTGACTGCAGTACATTGAGATGACAAAGCTGTACCTAGCAGATATAATCCCACTGGACCTATCTGGAGAATCTCAGGTTTATAAAACTGGAAGAATGAAACTGTTAAAATGAGACATAACTACCAGAATTTTTGTTATTCCATGAAGTACTGAACACTATGTGGCCATTTGGAAAATAATACCACCAGAATACCACCAAAATAATACCACCACTTTTAATAAGTCTAGTAAAACTAACAAACTGGAAGAGAGCCATACATGACACTAACACAGTCAATCCTGCAATTTGTACATAGGCCAAGATTTTCTTCCCTCAGAAAAACTACAGATGAACTGGCCCTGCTCTCTTCACAATAGACTGATTGTAAAATTTAATACAGCTGCCACAAGTTTCTCTGCAGTAGGCTGCAGCAAAATGCGTAAGGACTCAAGGCATAGTGAAACATGCATTCATTAAAATGAAAAATTAATTTCTAGTTTATTAATTTCTTTGTAACTGCAGATGCATGTCCCTAGTGAAGTGTATAGAAATTGAAAGCATCTATGTCAAAATACCATGTCACTCTCACTATAAGAGAACATCATAACATTCCCAATGCAATTTCATACAAGAATAAGAATTTGTTTTAAATAGCTCTGCTCTCTGACTAAACTCTGAATAAGATTTTTGGATTAAATATGTGGTCGAAATAGAAACACTGTAGAATAATTACTTCATGACCATGCCATAGTTAACAATCCTAAGATTCAAAAACTTACGTTAACAGAAAACTAGTGTTTTCAGTTTTTCAGGTTAGTAAGTTACCCTTCTCATTCTATAATATACTTCAGCTAGAGTTAGCATGTATGTATTAATATTACTAGTTTCTAAAAAAATTACCCTTTCATTTTGGATATACTTACTTAAATACTGAAGCATTAATCCTCAGACACACTGAAAGTCTCTCTGAGGTATGTGATATATGTGAGGAAGAATAGTGTCATAATTAATTTTTTTTGAAACCTCTAAACTGCTGTTGTAGAGTACCAATTTTACGGCATACTCAGTGTGTTATTCAGCAGAAGAACAGAAATGAATGCGTGATTTGTCAGATTCTCCCAAGAATGCTGTCATTTACGGAATCGAGGTAGCTGGCAACAAATGCTCAAGAGAACAAATTTGCACTGAAAAATTCATTAAGCAAGATTAATGTTGCAAAAATACCTGTCCAGGTTGCATGCTGCTCCATTTTGTGTACAGTGCATTTGAAAGGTTTTTTAGGCTGGTGTATGGACAACTGAAGCACTGATTGCCACACAACAAGAAGTAATCTTGACAGGCAGTTACTGTAAGTATGGTGAACTCTAGTGGAGATCACCTCAAATCATTTAGTATTAATTGCACCTTTGAGAGAAGCACTGCAGCATGCTGTAAGCAAAGCAGTAATGTAGGCCCTAGAGAGAAGTACTAAGTGGCTGACAAATGCTGTCACTGGGTGCTGTTATCGCGTTATTACAATTCAACAACACCTGTGACAGTGACATTGATCATAAAGGTGATCATCAAATGGGAAAAGGGAGTATAACTGCAGCTGACGTGTTGGGTACAGCTATTCTCTAGGTCTTGTTGCAACAAAAAGCAGCTCCTGAAGTGGGGAGGGGGAATCAGGTTTATAAACTCAGCAGGGTTGTCTATGCTAGTAGACATATGGCAGAAAAATAGAGGAAAAAAGCCATCAGGAAGACAAAAGGTTCATGTCATCTGCATAGGCAAAAAAATAACAATGTACCCTGGCTACCACAAAAGAGCCAGTGCAACATGTACAAAGCAGATGTAAGGTCTTTCCAGTACCTGGGGAACCGCTCACAGGCCCACAACAACTGCAGAAAAAGGCAAGTTGTTAAAGAGCAGACAGCTCTCAGTGCTTTATCTTTTTAAACTAAATAAATTCCACAATGGGATCTACCATATAATGGTGCAGCCAAAGAATCTCTCAATGTCAGCCAAAGGTTCTGCAGTGGATTGATGGCAATCTGTCTGTCCCTGAAATAAGCCCAACTCAGAACAGATAGTTTGAAGAGGAGAGCAGAAAATACTCTAGCTATTTTTGTAGCAGGAAGAAAGAGTGACACCAAAACTAGACATGGGAAAATGCAAGCATACTTACTGCCATTTACCTATCCTGCCTCTAGTGAAACCCAAACTAAAACTAGACAAGCAGTCAAAAGTCAGATTTGAATTCACTGGTAAACATTTAGACCAAACAAATAATTTAAGAGGAAATTATCACTACCTGGTGCCATTAAACACAGCCAGAAACGTTTAGTTTTCTAATCATCTCACAAAACCTAACTAGAATTGGTGGTAGGGGGGATGTCATTGTTTACAAAGTATTTGCAAATATGAGCTTCTGTTGTGTAAACAGAAGAGTGGTAATTTTCCAGTATTGCAAAAACCTAGAAAGTTTTGGAAAAGCATTTCAAAACCTAGGCATTTTGATGAGATGATTATGTCATTTGCCTTGCCTTATCTTTGCAACTGGACAGGGTGCTAGATAATCTCATCTAGGCCCCCTTTCCCACAAAAGGTTGGACCAGTTGATCTTTCGAGGTCCCTTCCAACCTGGGTTATTCTGTGATTCTAGAATCCTATGATCTTCTCTCCTTCCCCATACGAAAAAAGTGTGTCTACCTGTTATAGAGAAGAATATCTGGCTTCCAAATCAGTCCATCAGGAAAACGGACATTCTTCACTCCGGGATATTCAGACACGTTCCACTGTAGATAATGATCTGTCCAGTACTAAGACATACACAGAAAGTAAGTTAGGTAATCTTATCCACTGGTTTACTGTAGTTCTCAAGGGACTGGATAGCCTGAAACAAAAGGTGTTCTCTTGTTAAAGAGATGCTATTTAGCTTCAGGCAGTGAAATGTTTGGAAAGGGTGAATTAGGCCACCTAGAGCTCAATGGAAGGCATAAAAATCTCATTTTCAGTTCACACTGCAGTGCACATAACAGCCTATAAAAGAAGATTTGGGGTGCTTGTATTTTATTGTTCATGCTGTCTCAGGTGCCAATTTGGGATAGAACAGATCTTCTTTTACAATTCATACATTAACTTCAATTATGTTTATCTTCACAGGCAACTTTGTTTTCTGTTGTTGGAAATTCTCAGGTTGTAATAACTTGATTATAGACATGAGGTAGAGCAGCCAACAGTCACTGCTGACAGGGAAAACAACTGAAATGGCAGAATGGTTAATACTAGCATAGAAGGTCTTAGCAGCTGCTGTGGCCTGAAGTTAGGCAACCTCGGGGGCAGACGCTCAGCGCCGCTGCACTGTCCCACAAGCTTCCTTCCTGGCTGGCACTTACTGCACTGAAGGCATCCGCCCCGGGGGCTATCCATGCTCCTTTCAACCCATCCTTGGTGGCCAGTATAGGCAGGGAGTCCGTCGCAGTCAAACCAACAGGGGTTTGATCTGCGTTCAGCGTTGCTAAATCCCAGATACTGTCATTGAAACGTATGGTCGTGCAGAGTTATAAACAAAAGCACTGCCCCAAACTGCAGGCAGCTGAGTAGCATGGCAGCCCTAGCAAGCTGGTTACCTCCCGGTCTCCTGAGAAACACTAGCATGAGCTACTGTATTTTCCTGAAATTAGGATTGCACTTCACCCCTTACTAAGCAGATGACTTGTCGGAATACAAGGGTGGTTACTGTTGTGCGCAAAAGGTATAAAAAAGAAATGAAGTTCGTTTTGTTTCACAAAATTTATTTTTTCTTATAATTTCTGTGCTTCATTATATTGTGCCTCTCTCTATCCCCATATTATGTTATTTACGTTAATTTCACATAGCTGTAGGCATCACATAACTTAGAGTGAAAACTTCCCCAGATTTACAGTGCTGTTGCAATGCCAAATGTTAGTCTTTTAAATGTAAACTTTGAAATGGGTGAGTAAATGTACAATCCTTATCCCTTCAACAATCTAGTGGCCCTTGTCAAAATCTCTGACAGACATTAAGGTCAGAAAAAATTTCCAATGGGTATTGTGGAGGTAGTATTATTGATCATTCTCATGGGGTATTCACATCAAATTGTTCTGTATAATTCCTTGCATTACTGTCACAGGCAAGTTGCAGTTTGATACACCAAACAAGTCCCCAGTTAGCCTCACGCTGCAGGTACTCAAATTCATTCTTGGACCTCTAGGACAGTAAGTGACTGTTTGCTGAATGCAACACATCTCAGCATTCATCACACATCTTTTGTAAAGCTTTTACTATACAATTTCTTGGCCTGTGCTTCCGTATTTCTCTCATTCATTTTTTACTATTAATTTGTAGTGCCTTGTCACCTGGACAAATTATCCGAGTTGTGCATTGCTTTTTCCTTTTGCTTTACAGATAATAGTTTTTGACGGAAATCTTAAATCAGAATATCTGATTGGCTCTGTTCATAGTTTTTTCTTTTCACTGCCTGCTCCATTCACGGTTCTGTAATTAAACTATGTGTATTGCTCACACTCATTATATATACACAGCTTCTATAAGCTGATCAACTGCTTCTCTTCTTTTCAGAAATTTTACATCCATTTTTACAGTAAATTGTATTACGTGAACCTCCTGATAGACAAACGTCACAGTATTTTTTACCACTTCATCTTTTTGGAATGTAGAAACACTGAGATCCTCATGATACCTCTATTTTTTACGAAGTCCAGCAATGTAAACAAATGGGATGTGTAGTTTTGAGGCATTTAAACCTGTGGGGTCTTGTTGGCTTTAGGCGACTCATTTTCAGGAGCTGACAGAACAGGTCACTTTCTGCGTGGGGTTGCAGGGCTGGGGTTGGCAGGCTGCGGGCAGCTGCTGCAGAGCTCACTGCCTGCCGGCTTGTCGTGTGCAGCAGGCTCTCCTGTTCATCTCCATCTGAATTGCATTACAACAATTTATATCAATATATCCAATAATTTCTCATTCTAACTTCCTTTGGGAGTTATCATGGCCGATACGATGTAGCATAGGGTGATACCGAATGACGTAAAGACAGTCAAAGGATGATAGAAAACTTAATATTAAAGTCCATATTAGAGATAATGTTAAGCAGATTGTACGGTTGCTCTGTTTAGCTATGTGTACAAAGTGCTTACCCATCCAGCTGGACATGAGCTGCCTCATTTTGTTTTAACTTTAGAGCTACAATCTCCACTGTAGCTGAAGTACATTTAATGCGGATTAAAATAGCAAACGGCTTAGGGTACTTGGGTTAGTATTAATCTGTGTGCGTAGGCAAGGCTCCTGCTGTAACTTAGATCAAGTTTAAGATTTTGATACTGAGCAGTATTGCCATGGAGATAGTGGTCAGGATCAAAGAGTCTGCACATATAAATACTAGATTTATATTCCCCTTTCTTCCAGGTTAGTTTTTGTATTTAAGTATTTCAGTGATGATTAGATAAAATATATTTAAGCTACATCTCTGATTATACACACACATACATCAAGAAAGCAAGTGGAGAGGGAAATTCAGGGAAAAACTTCCTTCAGACCATTTAGCATAATAAAATGACGTATGTTCGCCTTAAGCATGCTTTGAATCTGTCTAGTATACCATTAATAGACAGTTAATAGGCAAACACGTTTCTTTTTTTTAATGTGTACATAGGCCATGAAGAGTGGCTACATTTTTTGTAGCAAGTGATCTGCTCATTGCAGTCTTAACATGTTCCACATATAGTATGTGCTAAGGTGAATAAATCAAAAGAAATACAGAATATATAAAAGAATCAGGAATTTCTGTAGGGAA